TTGCTTTGGCTTCTATGTGTGATTAAAAATACAGTGACTATAAATATGGCAATGCAGAATAAGAAGCTAATGAATGAGCTGCTATGTCAGTAGGAGTCGTTACGATGCTAATTAGAAGATGTGGATATTTTCATATATCGCGGTATTTCAGCAGCACTGTATTTTTGTTTAATTAAAAACTAACAGGTAAATATTCAAAGAATTCACTTCATTTGATTCATTTTCTTCTTCAGCAATTTCAATTGTAGATCCCTCTGTTCCAATTTTAGTAACTTGATGTTAAGCATGTAACATCATTGTGTGTTTACTGTACTCACAGTTTTCCTACAGTTTTTAAAAAAAACTCCATATATCGTCATGCCTATAGTATCACAGTATATCGCAATATATCACAATATATCTATTATTGCCCCTGTATCGCGATACGTATTGCATCACCAGATCCTTCCCAATAGACACCACTTTAGTGTTTTTTTACCATTATATACATAAAATGATTTATTTTAAATAACTATTTCATATACTTTGCACACTGCTTGATTACAACACACTCCAAAAGACTAAAGACCAAAAGGAAGGCTTTCATGGGCTGTGATCATCGCTCCAGTAATCAGTGTGTATTTGTATGATGAAAAGGCTACAGGCTATTACAACAACATATGTGCACTTGGACACATTCCCCTCAACCTCCTGCCAGAAACTAAGCTCTGTGACAAACGTATGGAAGAAGAAGAACAAACTGTATTCCTCTTTCATTAGCGTTCTGAAGCAAATGTTTTTATGGCCCTTGAGATCAGTAATAGACTGAAACGTATTGCTCAGGTATTTGTAGTTAGCTTACGTCTCGGAGGACAGTTGAAGTGTTCAAGTGCTTTGCTCCTATGTCCTAGTTATAACCACTTGTTAGCCTGTGTTTGCTCGCCTTTCATCACTGTAGAAGGCATGATTTGTATGACCGTTCCCACCTAAAAATGTCTCAGGGTTACACTAAATTAATCCAGTAAGAGCTTGTTAAAATGGTCAGAAAGTTACAGCCAAGGAGCCCAGTGTGAGCCACAAACTTGATTTTCAATTTGGGGTAATGAAAGTCCCTGAAGCGAGAGAGACGAGGCGGCAGAGAGCATTCTCGTGTGTGTGCGTGTGTGCGCGCGCGCGCGTGCGTGTGTTGGGTTTTCTTATCTGTGGATGACAGCTTTGGCACTTAAATATGTCCCAGCATGCCTCTCTATCCACGCTCTCCTCTGTCAGTCTCTTCAGGTCTGCACATATTATTCCTTACACCTTGGCAAATTATTCCACTTTGCTGAAAAATAAAGTTAAAAAAACAAACAACGATTTAGCTTACATTCATTGTTAGATAACATTAACTAGAACAGTAGGGATTGTATGATACGTATAGACAGAATCCAAGTATTTGTTATAGGTGATTAAAGGCCAAATCAATTTTCATAAGTGGAGTTTAATAATTTCCTGCCGACATGAGAACCGATTTAAACGATTACCTTAGACCTTTAGGTGGCATTTTTAATCATTCTTGGTGCAGTGCAGTGAATAAATATTGTCATTATCAACAGTTGGATGGCATCCCCTCAGTTATCTAATATGACTGCAGGCTGACAACGGATCGAGGTCATGTATGGTTACAATATTATTTTAAACATCAACATCCCCCTACAAAAAAAACACAGATCTGCATTTCTGCCTTGTCTCCATCTGCTTGGATACACGCTGTGAACAGACAGTGACATTAGCCTTACTTGATCTCACCAATGCATACAAATGCAATTGCACCAAAGAGTGAGTACAGTAAGCCCCAGGCACTGGCAGCACAGTGCATATGGCAGCTCTGACGATGCAATCAAACGCTCCCTATTTGACTCATCTGGTGAACTGCTAATAGAATGTTTCAGAATTTTTACAACACTATATACTTTGAAGTATCGTAATATTAATTTCTGGAATTCTGGAGGGTTTTTTTTTTTTGCAAAAGCTAAAGTATATAATGTATCTTTAAAATAGATAACACTGTCTGTAAAATGTTATATTGAGTCACAATAATAAATAGATAGATACCCCTGTATGGGTCCTCGGTTTACAACGTCCTCGACCTTTGGCGTTTCCTGGTTACATCGCCATCTAACCATAAATTTATTATGAAAGTCTTGTTCCATCGTTCTGACATACACCGTTTAAGATCGTCAACTTAATTAACAAGTTAATTGGCACCATAGGTTTGGAACCCAGACTTAAGTCGAGGACCCCCTGTACAAACATCTTAACATTCTCATAATCATCACATAGCAGCACCCAATTCAGAAAACAACAACCAACAAACTAAACTATATTTAAACCCGTGCTGACTGAATGATTCAGTAAGAGATTTTAAATCAGTGGGCTGAAATACACAGTAGTTTATGCACCACCCCCACCTTGTGTTAAGTCTTTATTAACTCTCTCACGCAGCTCCTTCTTGTAAACACACTGTGTGGTTGCTACACAACTGACAGCAAGATAAGCAGAGAAGCCTGTGCACGTCAAAAGTCTTCCTAACATTTGGTTGGACAACTTAAGCAAACTAAACTAACCTGTTAAGAGAAAAGTGACACCAATGACGTTGTAGGAAAAGCAACAATATTTCATGAGACAGAGGCTGCTGTTTACTTCAGTTTGACCAGGGGGTGATTAAAAACACCACTGAAGGCCTTAATAACCCTTTTAAATGCGTAGTCAGGTACAAGAAAGTACTTAGAGGTCTTCAAATCTTTGAAAACACAATTTCTCTTCACAAGAACGGATAAACTGTTTCCCCCTCCCTTTTAATATTCCTGCAATGGAACAGCTTTATTTAGTTACACTTGATCAGGTTGTCACTGTGGTCACCATGGTTCTTGTTGCACCACTTAGACACACATTGACGTGCACTCAGTTTACTGTAACATTTTAAATTTCACATTTGTTAAACGGTAACTTTAATTTTTTTTTTCTTACATTTTCTGGACAACAGAGCCAAACGCTTGACATTTTCAGCTAGCTTAATACAAACAATCAAGTCACATTAGAGTCAGGGTTAGGGTTCAATCTTGTCACAAAAAACCACTACAACTTTGACATGTTCATCACTTTAAATGACAGCCACTAATGTACACTGCTATTGTTAGCAGCTGGTGACTGAATGCTGCCCACGTGGAAGAAGATAAGAAGATAAGTCATTCATCACCTTGAAAAAAATGTAGGTTATAAAGAATACTTTAACAATAAAAAATTTAATTTAAAAATGTTTTTTTTATTGTAGTTACAGGTATCTTTAACCACAGAAACACTTCTACTGAATGGATTATTCGGTACATTCTGTTCGTACGTTGCCAAGCAATGGATTCGACTGGTGTTCATCTGACTTTTTCTCAAACATTACAATGAGGTTGACCTTTAGGTTTAAAATATTTACCAGCCAGTATCTCCCTGAAAACTGTTCAGTGTTTCTTTTTTTTAGTCTCCCAGAATAGCAGGTGAGGCAACTGGAAATAAAACCTACTTGAACAAAACATACATGCTGTAAAATACTGCTAATCCTTTTAACTTTCAGAATCAGAAAATCACGGTATTTAACTGCAACAATGCAACACATTAGAGAACCAATATTTCCTGTTGTCGGTTTATTAACCGTTGTGGTATCAGACGTATACAGCGAGATTCTCTGGGGAAAAGCAACACAATCCACATGCAAATGAAAAGCAAAAATATAAGGTCAAAATATACCAGAAATAGCAACAATGCAAAGCCCCAACCCCCAAAAAACTGTACCATGGGAAACGTCTTCTTATGAAGTTTTAAAAAATCTGTAGCATCACAGCAGCAGCACTGTGGTTAGCTTTGTCTGAACAAGAGCAACTGGACAGTCTGTGATACTGCTGTCGCTAAGGGAAAAGTGTGTTTAGGCTTTGTGACAGACGGCAGAGCCAAGCTAGACGTGCTACAGGCAAATTAGGCTTTGAAGGCCTAGTATGACACTGGATCTGGGTGAATGTGGTGTAGCAACGCTGCCATGGGGCAAAACTCAAACTGGGAAAATTACTGCACTGGCAATTCTAGTCAGCTGGAGAGCTAAGTGAAGATTTAAAGTGGGTCACAGCATAAATGTGTATGTGTGTGTGTGTGTGTGTCATGTAAATTCATCAGTCAGTTGTTGCCTCCTAGATGATCAAGAGCTGTGATTCTTTGTTTGCACTGAAAACGTTGCCTCTGTGTGCACACTTATAATAAATAATATTACTCTGCTGTAAAATAACTCTCATCACATCAACTGAGCTGGCAGCTGTATGTGATAACAACTGTTAAGCATCTTAGTTCCAATGTGACAATTTATTCTAGCTTTGTTCAGCTGTCTGCAGAGCTCTGTCAAGGTTTAAATTAATTTCAGCAAAATATGTGAATGGAGTAATTTTACCAGTGACTTCAAGCTTTCTCAGAAAAACTCCTGTGCTTATGTTTGCCGGTGCACGTCAGGACAAACCTGATGACGAGATACTTTACAACTGTTATTTTTGCCACTTCAGGCCCACTTTAACCAAGGGTCATTCCACTTAGGTGGTATGTGGTTTAGGAAAAAAGAAATCCCACTCCAGGTGCTCTGAGAGTTTCTGTGAGTGTTGATATTGTAATTGTAATGTTGGTTAGTTAGTTTAATTGGCTGCATGGCACAAAGTTAAATAACCAATCAGAAGACAGGACTGACTGGCTCTGATGGTCAACCCTGTCTTCAGATTGATCATCTATATATCAATTTATATACATGATATGTATCAAAAAATATATACTATTGTTGAAGTATACATTGTATACTATACATAAGAAGTATCCTGGAAGTATATTAGTAGCATAGCAGCTTTATACCCTGTGCCTGGCTGGATGTGCTGCTCTCTAGTGGGTGACTAATTAAAGCTTGATTTAACTTTTATACTCATGAATATTACATGGCTCAGAACACTAGACAGCCACTAAATCATTGGCATTCTGTCATTTCTGTTCCCTGGTTGTTTAGCCCTTAGACGTCCCAGAAAATTAAACCCTCTCTTCAGCACACCTGCATCGTATTAAAGTCTGAGAGGCTGAGACTTCAGCAGCAGAATCTCAGAGGTGCTGCTGTAAAGTGAAGGCTGCTGTCAGCCTCAAACTGAGCTCCTGAAGAGGAGAGCCGGTAGAAAACAGGTGACATTTGATGCTGCACAGCGAGCTGCTAGAGTTGGAACGAGTGTGAAGGATTCAATGTGTTGTTGTACATTTAGAGGTACATGTATTGTATTTTAAACTAAAACAAAATCTAAACTGACAATGTTTCCCATTTTTAGGTTCTTTGTGTCGTTCCCATCGGCCAAACAGTACTTCAGCCAGTTCCAGGACATGGAAGATCCGGCAGAAATGGAGAAAAGCAGCCAGCTTCGACACCACGCCCGCCGTGTCATGAACGCCATCAACACTGTGGTGGAGAATCTCCATGACCCTGAGAAGGTGTCATCAGTGCTGGCTCTGGTAGGAAAGGCCCATGCCATCAAACACAAGGTGGAGCCCATGTATTTCAAGGTAACTTCATGTTTACATGAGTTTACAACTCCCTCAGTGTTAAAGTCACTGTCAGTGCGTTCTGTTGCCAACCACTGATTTTGCAGTCCATGTTCAGTCCAATACTCAGGTTATTTCTCTCTATAAGTGGTTTACATTTCTCTCAGTGTTAGAGTCACTGTCAGTGCTTTCTGTTGCCAACCACTAATTTTGCAGTCCATGTTCAAAAATACTCAGGTTATTTCTCTCTATAAGTGAATCACATTAGAATTACTCACTGGCTTCAAGGGCGTCTTTAAACACTGTTTCCATATGAAGAGATTCTTTTTTTTTCATTATCTGTTTATCCAAACACAAAAAAGAGAATGAGAGTGAACTTTGCTACAGCAGCCTGAACTCGTTCCTGTGGTGTAGTGGTTCTCACCCCTGCCTTACACACAAAAGGTCCGGGGCGTGAGCCCAAAGCAACCACATACTTAATGCCTCCCCCCCCCCCATGGCAGCCTCACACTGTGAATTTCTCCATTGTGGGACAAAACTAAACTGACAATAACAATGATTTACTGTGTGCAGAGGAACACAGTTAATGGCAGGCAAAGACACAGCTTAATTTAGACCTTGTGAAATTCAATGTGAAAATCCACTGTGCTCCTTCCCCCTCCTTTGGAGTGAAGACAGGAAGCATATGCTTCCCCTCTTCAAATGTCTTCGAATGTCATCAGCAGTGTGTTGATAAATGCAGCTGCTCTTTCAGCTGCACTGATTTCCCATTGACTTTAGAACACGTTTTCACATTAATCTTTTTATTATTCACTGAAAAAAATATGAAGTAATGTTTTAACAGTTTTGGTATTTATGTGAGGATTGCCCAAGTACAAGTGAATACACACTTTTCATTCACTTTCTATAATTGTTTATTTAGATCATTCCGCTGGTTGAATTCCCAATATTTCTTTCCAGCTCTGGCCCTGGAACCTCCGTCCATCACATTTCTATTTTTGCTTTACCTTTAAATCTTCTACTTTCCATTCCCTGCTGCAGTCTGGTCGTTTTGCTCCTTTTTGTTATTTGGATTGGCTCTGTATTGTCCGTCTACCCACTACTTTCATTTTTTCTCTTTTCACATGTCTCACTTGTCTGAATTGAATTTTTGCCCCAATCTTTTCACTCTTTCTGTACCTTCTAGAGATATACTATCACAGCCCCATTCTCTACTCAGCTAGCAGTGAAGGTCTCAACGATATTAAATCTATTCTAAGAGAGACAAAAAGTAATGCAAAAAAAAATAAAACAGCTCTGAAATCAGAGAATAAAAATAATGCAAAAAAAAACAGCTCTGAAATCAGAGAATAAAACACAAACATTGCTGTCTGATAACAGACTTTATCAAATTAACCTACATAACGTAATCAAACATTTTGAGCATTTCTAATCATTGGCAGATTAGATATTGGCAAGGTGTTGGAGAGGTATTTGAAAAAAAAAACAATTGAATTGATTACTTATTATATCAAAAAAGGGGGAAACAGGATTATACCCTTTAGCCTTTTTAAACAAGAAAGGGCAAAATCTCTAATGGAAGAAACTCTATTTCCCTCTGCCTTTCAGATTCTTAGTGGTGTGATGCTGGAGGTGTTTAATGAAGATTTCCCAGAGTTCTTCCCAGCGGAAGTGCAGGTGATCTGGACCAAACTGATGAGCGCAGTGTACTGGCATGTGACAGGGGCGTACACAGAGGTGGGCTGGCTCCAGGTCTCCAGCTCAGCGGTGTGAAGTGAAAGAGGTGGAGAAGCTGAACAAGTTTTAAGCGGACCTATCAGAAAGAAAAGAAATGTGTGTTCGGAATAACACGACACGAGAGGAAAAGGTTGTTTGAAGGAAAGTCTTAGACGACGGCACAGTTGACGTCAATCTGTACAACATTACACATCATTTGGTTTTGGTGCTAAACCTATTAGCTATTTATTAAAGTCCAGAAATCTCTTCTAATTGGTTCATTTTAAGGGGTTGAAAATTCTGATGAAATTGAAAACAGAAAACATGACACAGCTCAACAGTTGACAAAGTTATATCGATAAAAACCTATCAGAGCTGTTGGAGAGGCACCTGAACGATAAGTCTGTGTTTAACATATAAACTTTGATGCCTTTTTTAAAAAGTGACCCCGTCAGAACTTTTTGACAAACATACCAGATGCTATGTAGTGATGACGTTAACCTCAGTACTGGTTCCTGTGCTTGGGGATATTACAGTAATGCAGTTTTTCCTTGAGAAGTGGTGACTTGGTGGAAAATAACTTTTCTGTGCTCCACTGAGGTCAAAAGTTTAAAATAAAGAATTAATAATGACATATTTAAAACCCTTTTTGGAATGTAAGAATATTTTTGGAGACAACGTAAGACCTGTTTTCTGTCATCATTGTGTTGAACACCAGAGTAGATCAAGTCACTGTGTCTGGTGTTCTAACAATAACTGAAGGCCACCAAATGATTTCCTTCATTGGGCAGGACGGGCGTGTTGAGAAATATTCTATCGTTATTCGTAACTCCACCTGTAGGTGATGCTAAGTCCTACAAAGTGCATTTTTACGATTGTCAAAACTGATAAAAGCTTCAATCAGCTTCCGTTGACAGGACCTTTCATTTCATTAATGGTAATTTAAATGGCAAGTCCTCCAGAATAAAAGTCACCAAGTCCTGGCACTACGCATCAAACAATACTGGTACTATGACTCAAATAAAATGAGAATCCACACAGATGTAAGTAAAAAGACTCACTCGTTCTGACCCATGTGTGCCGGGAGAATCCACACAGATGTAATTAAAAACCAGACCTCCTGCTGCTCAAAAAACTCACTCGTTCTGACCCATGTGTGCCGAACACAACGGCTGTGCAGCAATTCAAAGTTTCCCACAGTGAGTTGACCAAAGTTTGATCGGACCATCATTTTAAAGAGTCACCTGAGGACACACACACACACACAGTCATATTTTCATCCAGACCACCACCATGCAGAGGTCTGTTGTTTGGAAAGCTGTGTGAAAAAGACGCTGCTTGTACAAATACACTTCACATTGAGGAAGATATATTTAAAAAATGTGTAAATGAGAGATCACTTTAAAGCTGTTTGAGGGGGCAGTTAAAGGTTGTTGAAGCCCCAGCTGTGGGACCATGGAGCTGCTGACTGTTAATAGATTCTCTTTGTGTCCTGATATGATATATATCCTCGTGTTTAGAGGAGCCGTGTCTTTCCTCTCTTTCTCTGTAGTGATGAAATACGTGCTCTTAACGTCTCGTTGAACTTTATAGAGGTGTTGTGTGTATACGTGTGGACTGGGCAGGTGTGTATACTCTGACGTCTGTGTGTACGTGGCATGTTCATTTGTGCGTTGTGTGTTAAATGGGATTTTCCTGTTCGGGAATTTTGTACAAAGTCCTTTTTTTGCCTTTTGTCTAGAATATATTTGGTGGACACACACACACACACACACACACATCACACTCTGACAATAACCATCCATACAAACATTCCGACACAGGCTTGCTGTAGGACCACCTCTGTAGTAATATTTACCAGACTGTCACTTAGTTTATTTCTACAAAGGCCCGTCAGAGAGAAGTGCTGCATTAGGCTCCATTAACTGCTGTAGGATTTCACTGGGGAGGTCTTTGATAAACAGCCAACTTCAGAAATGGCATCAATTTGTGTTTCAGTCTCTTACCATCCCATCACCAAAACCAAAAACAATACCCTATTACTGATACTAAAAGAAATGCATGCCCATCACCTGCTGATTGTGATGAAGACGCTGCCCCTGCTGGTGTGCATGAGGAGTGGATCTCTATCGTTAAGGTTCAATTAATACACTTTTGACACTGCTACCACAGAGACACGCTGGGTGTTGAGTTCGGGGGGTTTTTAAGCTCAATGTACTTCTGTGAAACCAAAACTCGCTGACAGACGCTAGAGTGCCCTCTAGTGGCTGTCAGTGTAAAAATTTCAAACACGTGAAATTATATATTTTATAATATATAAGTTGCACCTGAGTGTAAGTCGTAAACCCAGCCAAAGGATGAAAAAAATGTAATGTATAGCCCGGAAAATACGATAATCCAAAATGTTTAATGCCCAGGTTTTAGGTCTAGCTCTCCTCAAAGTCATTGAAAGAAAAATGTCATTCCAGATAAAAATTTAGCGATCACTCAAACAAAGTTGAGTCCCTGGAGTTTCATGTCTGTGTCCACATCGCTACAAATCAAGTTGAGCAATCTGCTTTTTTCCTTGTGACCAAACTGTCCTTCCTTGATTTCCCCCCAACTTCCAGTTCTTCTGTTCTTGCTCCGCAGCTGCATTTTGTCCAAGTACTGTAACTTCTCCCACCTTATTTAACCCTACTTTCTTTTCAATGGTGCCTCACTAATCAGTCTTTGGAAAGCGTTCTCTGCTGTTGTCAGTCCCCATCTGTGCGTCTCTCTCCAGTCTCTGGCCTATTCCCAAACATACACAGCAAATCTGTTTAGGATAGACATTTGATCCAATCTTGGGTTTGCATCTGCTCTGGTGACGTCCTGTATCTCCCATCTAAACCCCTCTTGGCATCGGCATCTGGCATTAATGAGGAAGTAATGAGTCTCCTCTCCTCCTCATTTGCTCATTCATCTATTGTAACTTCCCACTACCTCCGTTAGGACCGTATCACTGAGAGCAATTATGACCGGACAGATGGTCCTAAAGCCGCCACACTATGGCAGCATATGCACGATATATCCTGTACTAGCTATATGCTAACATCGTCCAACATGGAGAAAGAGATATTAGCAAGCAGAAAATTATTGGAGCAAAAATATAAAATTTGATATTGTTTGTGTCTTTATAATTATGAACGCACATAGTAGTACAAACCAAGAGCTACAACATTATTTTAGAATTCCAGTTTGCAGGAATATAAGTTGTTAGAGATGAATTGCCTCCTACTTACATTTTCTTTCTCCTTTCTTGACTGAAATGACCTATAGCTCATTATTTATAGCTGAAATGTATAGCTGCAACCAGGCTTAGCATCTTAGCGTCACCAGTATCTTAGCCATAGCATCGTGTATTGAACGCTTACAACTGAAATTCTGCACAGGTTTATGAGAAGCTCCCATTTAACAAGTTTCCTTTTACAATAAACTGAAGAGTCGTAAAGTTCTTAAACAGTTAAAGAGTAAAAACTATTTCCAGTGTTACTATTAAACACATCTGGTCACTGTAAATTTAAAGATCCGTTTCTGATGTATAGCATACGTGGTGAATCCAACTCCTCCGCACCCCAAAACAATAACAGTCATGTTTTCTGAGGTCACGCTTCGAACTCCAGAAGTTTTAAGAATATTTTCTTCAGACATATTTTTATTGAACACTGTGTGGTTATAAAAGCCACCTGCAAACGCACTTCAATAAAATGAAGCCGTAAATCTTCTCTCACTTAAGAGCAAGTATTGCCCCCTTTTTTTAAAAAAAAAAAACAAGCTTTTTTACACATGCATGAGTGAACACGCGACGCATAAAACTAAAATTTAAACACAGCAACGACAGCAGCAAAACTCTCCTCACTTTGACGTGCTCAAAGTGAGGACTGTCAAACATGTCCCCACCTACCAAAAATATCCTCACAAGCTAATTTCATAAAACTAATTAAGATGGAAGGATGAACACACACACACACTGATGTGCATCTACAACGTGGTCATGCTCACTCACTCACTAACTCACTCACTCACTCTCACACACACACACACACTGATGTGCAGACACAACCCAGTCACGCTCACTCACCATCTTTATTGCTCATCTCTTGCGCTTGCATACAATATGCCACAGTGGCCGTGTGGCTGCATACCAAGTGAACTGCAGCTGCTGTGACTCCACATGCACCGTTTCCTCAGATACACTTTCCACTTCAGTGTGGTCCACCACTGTTTATGTGCTTTATCGTGAAATGTGTCCGTCCATCAGTTAAGATGTTAGGGCTTTATATTTTTCTAAATATACCTATGAGAAACGGAGTCCATACGTATTACAGTACTGTATATGAATATGTAACTGTATACTGCAGTGTGGGTGGGAGCAAGTGCAGTGGCTTTGTAGTGTTTTAACGCATGTTTGCACAGCCTACCACAAACCTGTATCATGAAAATGAATTAAGACTCATCAATAAAAGACACTTCAATACAGCCTCTGTTTTAGCCCTGTTTACTATTACTCTGATACTTTACACTTTAAAAATTTCCACAAGAGCAAGCATTAGATTTAAGTCTTAGAGACCAACGACGTAGATGCACTTTAGCAATGACACGCCTGAGATTCACACATTGCTTCTTCCTTTTTTTTTTTATTACTGCCACCTACTGGGTCCATTATCCACTGGAAAACCTTCTGCAGCATAGATAATAAACACAGCGTTACCCCATTAAAAACTGACTGAGGGCAATATGTAGTTTTTATTTAGAAAATAAAAAATACCAAACAAAATAAAACATTGCTGTTGTAAAGCAAAAAAAAAGTAATACAAACAACAAGATAATGTGGTTATAAAAGCACAGTCCATACAGTCAATAAGGCCTAAATCCACACAGAGATTAGATTTATTACACAGTGACGGTAGAGTCAGATCAACTGTGAGGCTCTCAGAGAAACGATAGTTGAAATAGGATCAAGTGGAACCATAAAATACTACTGTGAGCGCAGATAAAATCCATGGATAAAAAAAACCCAAATTTTATTGTTTGACTGAAATGTGCTGAGAGCACTAAGGCGTTGCAGACATGAGCACTTAAAATGAGCAGCAGGAGGTCTGGTTGGTATAGGATGATGTTGTAGAGCAAAAATGAAATCTGTATCTGAGCCACACAGTACTTCTACTTAAGTCAGTGATAGCTTAAAGCCAGAGTTTATGGTTTACATAATCTGCTGTTGCTTCTGTTGCCCACAGGACTGATGCTCCCACTGCTAACTTGGCTTGACAAAAGCATCTGTACTCAGCTTCTGTAGATCCTCTACAGCGGCTCTGTCTAATCTCATTCTTCACCATGTCCTCATTTTTTTCTGACCAGCAAAAGTCTAACCAGTACGGAATTTAGCTGTGAATTTCTGAACAGAAAAAAATGACAATTAATGTTTAGTACAATGTCTGTCACATGTATTACATACACAGTAGGGGCTTGAGCTGGCATGTTAGGATAATCTGTGACGCTTTAGTAAATTCGGAGGATTTCATAGTCAATCAAAAGTCAACTTATTTGTGCTAACATGATTAACTTTTTGCTGATGTCCGATATGCGAATATTGTCCAGACACTGACAATATCAATCAATACCAATATCAGCAATGCTGCCATCTAGTGACTTGATATCAACAATGCTGCCATCTAGTGACGTTCACTTTAATATACAGCCGTTTATCCCCAAAACTATTTTTGGGGCACACATCAATTGTGTTATTGGGTTTTCATTCTCGAAGGAAAAACTGATAACAATTCTTACAGATATTACATAATATGCTAATATCGGTTGGACGATATCATTGGACATCCCTACTTTCACTCAATGATACACCCCACCCAAACTGAGAAAACTCTCAGTGATGCTTCTGCCTGCTTGAATATATTGTGCAAGGCATTCGCACTGTTACATCAACAAGATATGATTAACTGGAATGAAATTTAAATGTATTTAATCAATGATTAATGCTTGCCCGTTCATTGCCTGACGCCCCAGGCGAGACACTGTCCACAGCACCAGTGGGAGGT